AATAATTCTTTCTTGAATATTTAGTGCTTACAATAACTACTTATGAGTTGAAAGCACAAAACTGGCGTTGACCGATCCCTCCTGGTATGAGCCACGCATTTTACTGCCACTCAGTATCATAGTAGCATTTTGAATGCGATTTGGCCCATACATGAGTTACTCGGCTAGTCAATGTACGAGTTAGTCTTTTATCTTCCAGACAACTTTGTGACGGCTAACCGACGCCGGGGGTAGGGAAGGCTTGGTAGACGTACGGACCCAGGATTTGTCCTCGGACCATGCGCGTGGTAAACGGCGCTGCTTGTCTCTACACCATTTTTAATCAGTTTTAAGACACAGTGCATTCAGAATACGGAACCTTCGAAGTTTTGACGCTCTTAGGTTGGGTTCAATTCTTTGTGTCTTTTGCTCGGCACTTTACAATCCGTTGGAAAAAACCATTTTAACATATCCCCAACCTCGGGGAGAGAAGATGGGTCCCCATAACCTCGTTGGGGCTTGCTGCACTCGGCCCCTGGAGGAGACTGCTGGCAGCAAGGATGGAGCCAGAACGGGGCTCATGGAGCGAGTGCGGTTTTGTGCAAAGTTTTTGTGGGGATCTAACGTGAATCGCATTCACAAGTCCAACACGCTCACACGTGTTAGTTCCGCACCGCCATTTTCCGTGGAAGCTTTACGACGAGCGTTCAAATATACTCTATTTCGGAAGACGAGAAGAAAATCGAGTGCAGACCACACACCATAAGAGACGACGGCCAAGAGAAAAGCGGCTTTTTTTTCTTGGCCGTCGTCTCTTATGGTGTGTGGTCTGCACTCGATTTTCTTCTCGTCTTCCGAAATCGAGGTTAATTTATAGCCTGCTAAATTTTTCAGATTTATTTCCGAAGCCAACTCTAATTTTTTATTTTTTTCTGTTATCCTCATAAAATATCAAAGCCTAAAGTATCGATTTTTGGATAGTGTGGAGACGAACTTTTCCCGTGCATAAGTTTTCGTTTGAGGTTCGAAAATTTAATACTGAATTTAGGAGACGGTAGGTTGTCATCTCGTCTCCGTCCACAACATCAGGCATCAACTTCGTCTTATGGAAGACGTCCGAGATGCTATTGACACCGGCAAAGTTCAAGAATTCCTGGACAGGTTTTTGAAAGAATCATTTCCCACGGAACCAATCCCGCAATGGGTTCGTGACGCTGTTGAGTTCATGGGCTATAAGCTCGCTTGTTAATGTTGCTCTTCGAACTAGAGGGTGAGTTTATGCCCAAGAGACTACCTTAACCCACAATGGCGTCAAATAAGCTTTGAATTCGCAATGGTCACACAAACACCGGATTTGACTTCTAAAGCACTGCACTCTATGAAGCGGTATTGGAGATATTGCGGTTGCAGATTTCTAGTCACAGTTAATGGCAAAGATCAGGATTGAATTGATGTGGTATTCCACTCAAATGTGAAAGTAGGGATGGGAGGTGGACCTGCCAGTGGAGAAAAAAGGAAAGAAAATCTGAAATACACAGGAAATATGAGCATTTTGCTCTACGCTGTGGAGAAGTTCAAAAAGCAGGCAGGGAGATGAGAGATAATGTGAGCGCGGAGAGGGTAGAGAAGTCCGAGAACGTGAGAGAGTGGCAGATCACCAATACGGCGCAGATGAGATACCGGACTGTGGGCGGGCCTGGTGTTTGTAGATTGATCAAATCCTTACATCTAGCGTCTTACTGACCCGTTTCGATGTGCTAGGTGTTTCGATGTTTTGATGTGGCGTGACCTCTGCAGTGGCGGACCACATCCACGGGAGCGATACCTTCGGTAAGCCTGAGCCGGATCATGCCTTTCAAATTTCTCCACATATATTCAGTTATAATAGATCGACGAACCCCAATCATAAAAAGAGAATATTTAACACTTTTTCAATTTTTTTTTTCACTCTCGCTAGTATTCTATGAAATTCTCTGAAGCGCAATAAAGCATCCTGTGACATTTACTGCTCCCTATCGACTACTGGTGGAAATCTGGGTACTGAGACTTAACCTCCAAGTACGTGTTAGGGTCACATCTCCACGCCCGCTCTTCAAGATATACTTCACAATCCTCTCCTATATTGAAATCTAACAGTCTCTGAAATAACCACTGCGGCTTCTGCCATCGTCTTAAAACTGCACCATGTCGACCCGTCTGCCGAGAGTCAACCTACATACCAACCCTATATAGAATTCACGACGTAGCTTGCCGTGCTCCTGACAGCTCCTCGCAACATCTGTCGCTCACCGAACTCCCTTCTCGGCATTACTGCCGCGCGATAGATTGTCGTAATCCTTACATTAGGCCCATGAGAGATTCCCCCCAGGCGGCGCACCCACCCAAAAAAGCATGCCCCAATATGCCTAATAATAATATCCACTGTCCTTCCTGTGATCTGCAACGCCAGGCCACACTATAAGAAGTGGTATAGAGCTATGCCTAATCGAGAGGATTATTGAATTTTTAAAAGGAGTGGTCTTATAAATGGACGATGAACCATGGAATTTCCGTAGTACCCTTCTCTCCTCTAAATGACCCCCTAGACTAAAGGCGAGCACCTCCCGCCAGAGTGCCTCTCAGGCAGCATGAATAAAGCGCCGCAAAGGAGGCCTCCAACTCCTGAAACTCTTGCCACCCACCATTTCGGACGTGGAAGACGCAACGGCACGCATGTTGTGATGGCACCGTTATCGTTATGGTTCGTTTTTTTAGTTTATAGTGCTCTCATGTTAATCGTGAGCACCTATCTTCTTCTCTTGTCTTCGTACCGTCTCCTATTATTTTGCTCGCGCCTACCATCCTCTATCTCAGCTCTATCCTCCTCTCGTCAGGACACGGTCTGCCAGTTGAACTCTTACTCCTTTGAAGCCCTGGCGCTTATCGCCTCTTGAAGGTAGTCGATCAAACGCTTGCTCGAGGTGGACTTCTATCGACGCGTTATCAACCCTTAAAGGAAGTGGTCACGATAATTCTCATAGGGACGAATAAGCTGTGTACTGGAGTGGATAGGGGTCCTGCCCAGTGTTAGAACACGTGAAGTTTCAGTGGCAGTGGCGCCTTATCAACGGAGTGATAAGGCGCCGAAATCCACTTCCGTTCAGCAAAAACCAAGACTTATCGATGTGGAAAGGGGTGCGATAAGAGCGTGCTAGATATGATACCGTTATCGTCCCGTTTTCATTCTGGAGTGCACCTCTTATCAAGCAGCCGCACCTTCTTATCTCATCGTATCATATCTTCCATGGGCTTACACTCGTCCAACAATTACTGCCTCACACCTTATCGATTGATAACGCGAGGTAGCAAATCCAGCGTGGAAGCCAGCGTGACGCTTCCTTTAAAGGAAGCGATCACGCTGGCTTCCACGCTGGATTTGCTACCCTCGCGTTATCAACCGATAAGGTCTGAGATAGATTATGTTCGGACGAGCGTTACCCCCTAGAAGATAAGGAGATGCGGCTGCTAAGAATAAAGTACACTCTAGAATGAAAATCGGACAATAACGATAACGGTATCATATCTAGCACGCTCTTATCGCACCCCTTTCCACATCGATAAGTCTTGGTTTTTGCTGAACGGAAGTGGATTTCGGCGCCTTATCACTCCGTTGATAAGGCGCCACTGCCACTGAAACTTCACGTGTTCTAACATTGGGCAGGACCCCTATCCACTCCAGTACACAGCTTTCCTTATCGTCCCCATGAAAATTATCGTGACCACTTCCTTTAAGTCCTGAGATAGGTAATGTTGGACGAGCGTAACCTCATGGAAGATACGATACGATGAGATAAGAAGATACGGCTGCTTGGAATGAGGTGCACTCCAGAATGAAAACGGGACGATAACGATAACGGTATCATATCTAGCACGCTGCCATCGCACCCCTTTCCACATCGATACTTGGTGTTTGCTAACCGGAAGTGGATTTCGGCGCCTTATCACGCCGTTGATAAGGCGCCACTGCCACTGAAAACTTCACCTGTTGTCTCATTGGGCAGGACCCTACCCAATCCAGTACATAACTTTCCTTATCGTCTCCATAGTTATTGTGACGACCACGTCCTTTAAGTAATGATACATCGTGTGAAATTAGCGTGCTGAGGATAACCCATTTTGCAGTATCTTGTGGAACTCGTGCACCATCTGAATTGTGCCCTCCGGTATTGATACCAGAGTCAAACCCGAACTTTAGTTGACGTTATTGTGGTCCAAGGTAGCCTCTTAGGAACAATGAAATCACTCTATAGTATTCTCTGAGGCAGCATGTTTAAAAGACGACATACTGACGCTGAACTTCATCAGAAAACTATCATATGAAGTTCAGCGCCAACTCAGTATCTTGGCTTGAAATCTATCGCTGCCTGTGTGTCGTCTGATTTGTTATTTTTCATTCATATAGACCATTCGTTTTCCACATTGTTGATTTGAATTTGTTGTTAATAATAAACAAAAATTGTTTAATGTACAGAAAAACGCATGAATTATATACTCTTTATTTCTCTCTCTCCACCAAACAATTATCCTACGTAAAAGTGAAACCGGCAGTTCTGTAGGTATTATATACTTTTTCTATAGAATTAGCATAAGCCGCTGTGCGGATATCTAAGCCCAAGTTGTACTTTCGGGCTGTGCGAATGATGGCTTCTCCCGAGCGGGTCATCGTGTACTCAAGACCGGAATGTACGATATCCTGAAATGAATGGATTAGTGGGGCAATGAGAAACATGAGGAAGGCAGCGTCCACGGAATGTACCGTATCTTCACCCCTTCGTAATTCCCAGACCCGTAAAGTCACGGGAATAATTAGCTGGAGAAGAGTATGTTCGTTTAAAAAAGATTAAAAACATTCATAAATTTGGTTCTTGTCTATAATCGGTTTCTTTCCATTGGTTTTGGAAACGATATGCTACAAAACGGTATCGTTTTGAACGGAAAATCACAAAGTTGGATTCCAATAAGCCACCAAATTTTCCGCTGAAAGGCGAAATTCAACCATGTTCTGACCAAACAATTTCTGCAGCAACCCTACTACTGTGCCCGTTCAGAATTACCCGAGAACGCAACAGATCACATAAATTTTTATAGCGCCTCGAGAACCGCATTATTGGGAGACTCAGTACTTTCGTGGACTCTCTCCTAATCTCTTGAAATAATACGAGAACGGTTCGTCGGCTGAGAGAGCCTCCAGAAATCTTTGCAGCGAAAGCGTCATTAGGGATCACAGGAGCTTCTTTGCCGATAGCCTTCTCCAATGAGTCTTGTACAGATTCTGAAAAGTTAAGAAATGAGATTATTTTCAAGTGCTTGGCCTGAAATCCCTTCCCCGCAAACTTTTAACTTTTTACAAGAATTTAGCATTCGTTCCATTTGTAGTTATTAAAGGAACGGGTCAGACTATACGAGCCGAATCATCTCCAACTAAAGATTCAACCCTAGGAGCTTAGGACCAAGGCAAAAGCGCTACTATGTCCAATAGTCCATCTGCGCAACTTGCTCACAGAAGGGGTCTCATTAGGATGAATTCTATCGAAGCGAAGGTAAATGGTCGAAAGAGCAGAGTAGGAAAGTCGTGTCTTGTTATAGTTAATATGGTCTGTTTGGCGGTTTTTTTCGATATTTTTTTATAAAAAGTCTGCAAAATGGAGCGTGAAATAGACAAATGTGAAGGATCTGCCGGTTCCTCTGACGAATTTACACCCCCCCTCCTCACCCTTTCCTAATTTCCTACATTTGAGTAAGTAGCAGATTGCCCTGTTTTAATTTCCCGGATGGCTTGTGGAAAGCCTATATCACTTATTTTTGAGGGTAGTTTACGATCTCTGCTCGAGGAACGTCAAGAAGAAGCGTATTATAGAACGTTTGTTCCTTATAAAAAAACGTATGAATTTTGGTGAGCGTTTTAATTGGCGACAGGGGTCGTGCATTTTGCGAGAAACTACCGTCTCGCTTTTTGGCTGAATCCGCTCCCGGCTGTCAATAAAAATAGTGAGTTCGTTGCTGGTATTGCAAATCATATGCCATGTTTCTATATGCCTATAGTTGCCCACGGCCAACATTCTGTTTTCAATTGGCAACATGGGAGTGAGGGGCATATTTCGGGATATCTAGCCTTTTTGCCCAGGATAGAGGAATTAATGTTAGATAAAATTTCGGAGGAGGTTTAGAGAAATTTCACCCTATGATAGTCTGACCTATCGTTTACCCTGCGTTTCACCCTCGCAGACACGGGTTCAAGCCACAATCTGGCTTTGCAGTCCCGTATGATGGGGACCTTTCAAAACTAGAACTTACTGTGACTTACGCAGGAGCATTCTGTTGGAGTCCTCTTCATATTTGAAGCTAAGGCGACCATAAGAGACGTGGTTAAGGTTCTTCAACCATTCGAAGTATGAGACAGTCACACCACCAGAGTTAACATACCTTAAAAATCAATATTGGACCACTTTTTCTCCAGAAAAGGGTGAAGAAATCTCACATGTCTGGGATGATAAGGCAGTTTCCGCGTTCGAGAAGAATTTTATCTGCGGCAGGAGTGGTTGGACCATTAGCTGCCTCGGCGATAATCTAAAACTTTATCTATTCGCAAAGCTCCCTTGGACCAAACCAGATAGTACCTTTGCTTGGATTCGGGAAGCGTTCTCCTTGTGGATGGCTTTTTCACAGGCGGCAGGAACGAGAATATCACAGGCCTCGTACATGAGCTCTGTGAATGGTTCGAAGTTCTTGGCTCCAGGGAAGTTCTAAAATGTATTAGAATAAAAAAAATAAGAAAAAACCAGTATGAGGTCTGCCAGTATTGTCACGATATTTGGCTCCATTGGAGAAAATTATGAGAGGAAGGTAAAGTTTTGAAGGGCTGGGACATGGGTCAAGGCTCACAAGACACATATCCTCACCCACGACAAGCGGGCGCCTGTGTGAAAGTTCAGAAATTGACTATGACTATGAGAGAGGTGTTGAGACCAATGTGGGCCGACAAATGCATAAACGAGCAGGGAGGTATAATAGGAATTTATTGAGGCCTATCTGCTTTGGAGGGGTGGGGAGGTGGGAGGAAAACCTAGAGGTGGTACACTAGAGCAATTAGCAACTCGCTTTCGAAAGACATCAAGGACTGAAAAATACTGATGTGTCTGAACGGCAGTTTTCCCTGGGGAAATACGGAGGCCTGTCTGCTACGGGTTCCGAGAAGTGGGAGGAAAATTGGATGTTCATCTTCAGTGAGAAGACCCTCTGAAGTCCTCTGATGGTTCGCCAGTAAAACTGGTAGTTTCAGTATTGACTCACCTTGATGGTACCATTCTGGTCCCTCCAGTCTTCAAGTTCTTTGGGGTGAAGTCCATCAGGGTTGTGGATAGCGCAATCCCACTCTTGAATTCCAACAATCTTCGCTCCAGCTCTGTAATTACAATTCATATAGGGTGAGTATGAACACCGATAGTGCACGTGACGGAATAGTCAAAGTAATCGTCCATGTAAGGGAAGACCAGAAGGCAGGCTATGCACACGCTATGACTTATAACCAGTGAGACTGCAGTGCATTTACCACGTACACCACGCACTTCCCTTTTTTGCAGGTGCAGCTTGGTCCCCCTCACCAACACCCGACTGTCTAAGATTTGAATGTTTCCAAGAGTCTAGGTCGAAGAAGTAGCACGTCTCAAAAGGATCGATCTATCCATCAATTGGATTTATCTGTTGAAGCTTTGAAAGCTGGGGCTTTGAGTCTGTATAAATCCCAGTGGAGAAGGCATCCGTACCACTGGACTTTCTTCAGACTTTCTTCCGCACTCTACCGCGCCTATGAGGTAATGTTCTCAGAGCCGCCTCAATGACTATTTCCAAGACATGGAGTTTTTTCCACAAGTTTCATTTGGGGAATTTCATGTGACAAGTCAATAAATAACTACAGATATAATAACTAGAATTAACTTATAATTAACTATAGTACCTGTTTGAGTATTTTAATGAGAAACCAACGAATGAACTTCTAAGAAGCCGTCAAAAATCACTTTATTTGAAACATTTATCGTGAACTTCACTGCTTCACTTTGACACTGGCGCCCTCCTGATGCCTTACAATTTCTTATGATACGATAAAAGGTGAGCTAATCAATAATCGAAGGCCACAGCGATTCAAAGCTTACGTTCCACCCACACGTCAGAGAATTATTTTGAGGGATTAAGTAGTATTGTCGCCACTCGTTTTTTATTAATGAGATTCGTCCGTTAACAATTATACAAAGTTAGTTTCATTGTCAAGCGCAATGTTCCACGCCTACGCAATCGTGGGATGTGCTATTAGGTCTTGTATACGGTAGCTGATACAGTATGATGGCTCATTTCATCGAAAAGATACCTGTGCAAATAACGCATCGTGTGAAGTCCCACATTACCAAAACCTTGAATGATAACGGTTTTTCCCTCCAGTCCGCATGAGAGTCCAATCTAAATGAGGTCCACCTTAGTACAAAGTATGTTGCTCGCTGCTCTAGCGGACAAACTCATATATGGGGAACTCATGGTCCCATAGATCATATGAAAAAAATCACCCTTTTCATGCTACGCTGTTCTGTGTGGCGTAACACCTCAAGACCTTCTCCAAAACTCCGTCGAACCAGTTCGCAGAAAACACGTCATGAATACCACGGCGACGATCGGCTTTCCAGTGATACAAGCGGCCGCATCCTGAAGTCGCTCTTATAAGAATCTCTGAACATCCACCACCCTCCTCTTTCGAATTACCTACCCTATCGAGATGTCCGATGGTCTGTGCGTAAGTGTCAGCGATCCATCCCATTTCACGCTCTCCGGTTCCCATATCGGGTGCTGGCACGTCAACTCCAGGCCCGAGGAATCCCTGAACGATGACTAGTTTGATTATATTTCTCTGCAAATATTAAAAAAAAAGAATGTTCTGGCAGCTGCTCTTTACGGCATGTTATATGTCAACATTCATGTCAACACAATAAAAAGCAGCCCGCATGATTGCCAAAGTGTAAAACAATGACGTCTGCATATTTTTCGGCACACTTTCAGTTTGATTTACTGCTCTTCAGGTAGTGATTTATAATAAATAGAGGGAGCAGAACTATATAGAACTTTGCTCTTCATTGCGCTGCTGAGGCGCAGATGATGTAATGGCAGGGGTCGTCGCTCATCACGCACGCGGTCTAATCACTTAAATCCTAGTTCGAATCTCGTCTACTAACCAAACCTCGTCGCACCCACTGGTCCTCTCTGAAGGACCAGCACCCATTCAACTGATTTTACGATTGCTTTAATTTTGGTCCGATGGTGTGGCGCATTTCAAGGGAGCTAACCATGCGGTCCTCAAGTCTCAATTTTAATGGCTGTGGCGCATTTAAAGCGGTAGCGTCAACCAAATCCGGTTCTCAAGCTCAAGGTATCTCGAACGGTTACATTATATACGTTTTTCCATCTATCCGCCTCGCTTCTCAATTTCCTGCTGCTGTACCCTCCCCCCATCCATCCAGCATTCTACGTCGCTACCCTACGGTTGGTCGTTAAGTATAGCTCAAAATTTCAGTGAACGAATGTATCACGCTCAGCAAGTTCCTTTTCTTTTTTGGGACCAGTTTCTGTAATGGACTGAAAACGTAAAGTTTACGACCTTTTCCATCAAGTTTCCATTTCCTCGACTCCAATGCCCTTCCCTATTCGATAAAGGGCACGCCATCTTCTCGGCTCTAATGCCCTTATACCTAGTGATAAACAGTTTCGCCGCTATCAAATAACGACTTCTATAAGTCAAAAAATGACACAATATGCATGCTAATTGCTGAGATAAGACTGTAACCGTAACCGTTTCTACGATTCAATTACTAATCTTTGGCTGCCAGAAAACACTACTGGCATATAATGTCCTTAACATATACTGGTAAACAACCCCGCCCTTATCACGTAATGACCTTTTAGGAGTTAGAAGAAGCTAGACAAACAGTACATAAATTTCTGAGCGGTGAGATTAAAAGTCATGACCGCTTTTTTCTGGCTCTCAAATGCCAACCGTTATTTGCCGAAAAACAGCGACATCACCTTGCAATGTAATGCTATTAACGTTTGATGATAAACAACTCTGCCATTATCAAGTAACGACCTTTGGGGAAGTCAAAAAAAAATTAATGCGAAGGCCGCGCAAAGTTCCTAGTGTTGGCAAGATAAGAGTGTAATCGTCACTGACCTTTTTGGCGAATTCGATAGCAATACGACGAGTGATTTTCTCGATTTCGTAGTCAGTGTAGTGCTTAGGATCGATCTTAACACCTCCCTTGGCTCCACCGAATGGCACATCGACGGCTGCGCATTTGTATGTCATCAGGCTGACAAGGCTTTTACCTGAAGACGTGAAGTTGCATAAAGTAGAGAAAAGATCTCAATAAGTCGAAACATGGTCAACGGCCGCTAAACCAGGCCGAGCCTCGACTCAAAAGAAATTTGGACACACGCAGGCCTCACCCAAGCGGCTAATCCACCACCTCTTCTGCCCTGATGTTGTTCCGCAACTCATGGGCTTTTCACATCTTATTCCATCCTTTGTTCGCTTGCGGAAGTGACCACATCTTCAAAATAAGTCATAAATCAGAAGGGTAAGAAAGGGGAGGGGAGGAGGGCGTAGAGTACATGCAAAAGCTTCCGAAATTCCTAAACATAGCAGGAAAGTTCCCCCTTAAAACGCCATATAGACCACAAGTACCTCAGCGTGGGCTCGCCCCATTGCCGTCATGCATTGGCTGCCCTTGTCTCGAATGAACAACTCGCTCCAGGTTCGCCGACTATGAACCCAATCCAAAGTCAAGCACGGCATCACGGTACTTTTCTCCAACGCACCATTCCCCTTTTTTCTCCTAATACCCTCCTTCCTATTTCCAGTTCGAATAACTTTGCGTTCTGTGGGTTAAGAATTGGAGGCGAAGGCTGGGTGTATCCATATTGTAACAACGATGAAAAAAGCTCTGAGAGAGAATTCTTGGCAACCCCCTTTCCGTCCCCTCCCCACAGAAGAACACATCTATACGACTCTCATCGCCTATCAAACCAAATGCGACCTCTTAGTGCGGATTCCGCGACGTATGCTTGACCCTGGATGGATCAGATTGGAACGCGGTAATTACCTCATCCTCGCACACATCCGGTGAGTAACGAATACCACCCTTTGTGGGGGTTCGATGCTCAGAGTGTTGAGCACGCCACGCTTCGATCACTTCATATTCGCCATTGTCACGACGAATCGGGAAGGTGATGTATAGAACCTGAAAGGGTTGTCGTTCAGTTCAGCGATTACAGTAACGCACCATATCATTAAAAAACAGCTGCACTTTGAGAGCACCAGTGGAAACTCCGTTCTCGTCTGTTCAAACATTAAAGTCAAAGTTCACAATTGCAATAACTTCCGAGTTTTTTTTTCTTCGTAAAGATTACACTCATAAGTCGTTTGTCCGAAGGGCAAAATCAGGTCTACAGCCAGTGGTCGCTCTCATCAATATGGCCTTTTGGTCAACTTCCGCTTGGAAAGTAGCACCTATGTATAGGTTGAGGAGCAAAAAAGTCACTTTTTTTGCCCCTCCACCTACACATCACCAAACTTTTCGTGGTGCAGAGGTGGCGCTGTCGATGAAATTTTTAAGGCGAAATATTCCTCAGATGTCCCTCTATGGATACAAAAAGGCCTTCGTTCACTGCCCTCAGTGTTTTCAGAATTTGACGTCACAATAGGTCAAAGTTCACAATAACAATAACTTCTGAGTTTTTTTTCTTAATGATTACAATTGCAAGGCGTTTCTTCGAAGGGCAAAATCAGATCTATGGCCAAAACGCCGCTACCATCAACATGACCTATTGTCAATTTGCGCCTAGAAAAACAATACCTATCCATTAATATCGTTCGATGATTCACATAATAGATCTATGCTTGCCCGGATAATGAGTCTTGGAGTAGCCTGGTTTGGCAAAATATTGGACATGGCCTAGTTTGGCAGAATATTAAATGGACAGTCATGTTTTCTCTATTAAAGTTCTCAATTGGAGTCTGGTACGTGGTTTCATGAGCCATGAATTCTAATTTCAGTTTCAATTTCAGTTGCAGCATTCATGGCGCATCCCGGATTTCACTCGAGCACACTATGTTACGGACCATTTGTGACGTCTAACGGTATGTATAAAATGGCACTCGTGAGATGCTTTGAATGTTAACGCATGCTTCTGTTCTCACATCTTTATAAGGGAAGGACTGTTCGGCAGAATCTTCGTTAGGCACCGAAACTCTATTGCCTTGGGAGCAATGATTGCACAACGCAGCAGAACAAGGCAACTGCCAGGCTACCTCTACTATTTATCTCAAGACCCGGTCGCAACCAAGAAAAGGGAATTATTCTTGGGTCGCAACAAATCCTGGATTCTGGGAATGAGGACTTTACAAGTGAAAGTATCAGTGAGCTAACAATAGGGAAGGCATGTTCACTTGCAACTCCCAGCACGAGGTTCACAAAGTGTGATCTATTTCGATTTGCGTAATATACATAATATTTACCAGTTAAAGGCTTGCGATTTGCAATACTTGCATGGCAAAGAATATTACTTGGAGTTTTGGAGATCAAATGACGAGGCAAGGAGCCGCCGGGCTTTCTCGCACTCGTGACAGTATTACATTTCCTCTTTTCCCTTTTCTTTTCGATTTCTGCAGGCATGCGCGAGGAAAGTCTCATTGGTGAGTTTTGCGATCATGGCAGACAAAACCGGTTGTCACTGCGCGCTCAGGTCGTAATTCAAAAATAGCGATGATGGGGGTTCAAATCATATCTGTCAAGAGTAAACGCAATCGACCATCAGTCTGCCTTCCGTCTGCCATTTACTCGTCAGGAGAAGTTGAAAAAACTGAATTTTCAATTATTCAGTACCTATTTGGTTTATCTTTATTTAGATCTTTTGTAATGAAATATGACGTATAAGACCTTTGGTTTGTTCAAATTACTAATCTACTGGCAGCAAGCTGCGCTCTGCAAAACGTATGGTTTAGGGCGCGTTATAGAGCATCCAACATACATCTTATATGGGAAGAAGCGCTAGATGGCCTTACAAAAGAAGATGACGAAACCCCCTCTTTTTTCCAACCAAACAAAATGGGGAACAATATAACTCTCCCTTGATTACCAGTCTGAATCTGGATCGGATAGATTAATTAGTTCTAAAATATTTTAAAATCACTGACAGTGGAAAGATAGGGGCGCATTTTCGAGTTTAGTAAAAGAACCTGTAGAATTTCACGTTAAAAGGTTGTGGAGAGAACCTGGAGATATTACTAGTCTGGGTAGGGCACCTGCACTTCCTTTTCCTTCCCTCCTGTAGGCAAACAAAAGGCAAATGCGATTCCAACAATGGCCGAAGCGTGCTAGGCTTTGCCGCAAACCTTTTCAGAGACACTCCTCAAGAATTGCTCTCTCCAGTGTAACACGTGTTCATCGACACCATGCCCTCTGCCCGACTAATGAGCAAGAAAAAAACCGATGAAGGAATGAAGCTGCAGTTGTCAAGCAATTAGGTTGTCATGACAATTGAGCGGGCTCCTCTAAGAGAGTTTCTTTGCCTAAGCCGAAATGGTTTAGGTGATTTATGCCTGTGCGCTATGTGGCATAACGTGGTGATGCACATGGGGTTCACATAAGCTAGCATCGCTTTGACTAGCGTTATCACACAAAGCATATAGTTTCTTGCTGTCTATTTATTTATTTATTTTGGGCCGAAGTGTTGTAGTGGCAAGTGGCACGCCTCACGACACGTGAAGCGATCGACAGATCCCAGCCCTAGGTTCGTGGACTCCGGTCAACTAGGCAACCAATGCCTTCCATCCACTCCGGGTCAGTTTTAATTGGTACCAAGACCTGGTAAAGTGAGGATAAAAACACCGTGACTTCTGCCATCGGCTAGGCCCTCGCAAGGTCACAGATGGGAAGGGGAATATTTCGGTAGTACGCGAGCTACAGAAGAGTTCTCAGCGAGCTGTCTAGAGCCTACGAGATTTCCCTATCTGGAATTTTTTTGGTTCCATTTTTTGTGTCGAGATGGAAAAAAAAGGCGCATTCCAAGCTCGGCCCGGCAAGTAAATTATGTACATGCACTGTGGCTCTAAAGGGCATCCTCCATTCTTGAAGGAAATCGAATGACCAACCTCAAGGGATTCAGTATTGGCAGCCAATCGTCCCTCATTATAGAGTTTCTCTAGAATCAAATTACCAGAAGATTTAGCTCAGCATGGAATCCCAAAAAATGCATGTAGCTACTACAGGGCCTTTCAGACTTCAACTCTTTATACAGTTCAGCCAACCCCCTTAAATTTAGGCTACAGGAAAAATCGATGTGTGCTGTCAGCAAAGCATAACAAAATATAAAAAAAACATTAAGTTCAGTATTATAAACCGATACTTTTCGATGAAAGTGACGGTATTTGTTGGGTTATCAGCAAGCATCTAAACAGAATTATGATTTTATCTAAGAACGTCACCATGTTTTGCATGAGTAAACTTTCAAACATATTGCAACAAAATTAAATTTGTCAAATTGTCAAATCAATTTTAAATTTGCAATACAAAATTAAAAACGGGAAAAATAAAGTAAAGCAGGAAAATGTCTAGGAACCATTGGGGGTGCGATTTTTTCTGGATCGTATAAAGAAAGGGCAGCAGTTATTATGCAACGGAAGCTATAAAGTGGCTACTCAGTTAACGGATAGAGTAATGCCCGAAATATTTTGCACTATTCAAAATTTGTTTAGCTGGAGTTACGGTTGCCAGGAAGTGTAAAATTCAGAGTTAGACATCAGCTGTCCCGCAAACGGGTTTAGGATGAAACTGTTTCTGTATAAAACTAAGTGGAAGTCAGAGTCACGGCGCATCACAGACGAATTGACCACTGCGTATTTCGTGATTTTTTCCGTTATAAATAAAGTTAACTACAGTATTTATATCGGATTCTTTTTCACGTGGATTTTATGTTCTCAGCCAATTCCAAGGAATTTAATCGAAATAAATTTTATTTAAACCGAGAATATTTCAAGAAATTCCGTGAAACTGATCCATTTCCATATGGGATTTCAGAATGCATATCTCCACGCTTATTACAAGCTAATACTCATGCCATTCAATGTTCTATAAAAAGTCTAGGCACATTTTGGTCAGCAGGACGCGTGCGCGCTGAGTTCATCTTCTCGTGATCTAATCAATAGTCTATGATAAACTATAGAGGCAAGCGCATCGTTACACATAGAACTACTACCAGCTCTTTCAAATCCGATGGCTTAGTGGCTATGATCGAATCGAGGTGTTCCACAAGAACTAAGCTAATAATCTACCTTGTTGACCGGCTTGATGGCCTTCAGAATTCCATTGACGAGATTTTTCTTATCTTTCGTGCTCATCGAGTTTGATTTCATTTCCTCGACCAATTTCGGCTCGATTACGGTCGCTCCCTTATCGAAGTAATAGTCAACCATCTGCAAACAATGGGCTTATCTATTGTCTCTCGGAGCGTCGTATAATAAATTTCTCCGAGATGAAACATGGAAACCTTAAAGAACGAAGGATTGCTTTGTTCGTCCATCGGCTTCTGGTCGTCGATGACTTGAGCATGGGCGTCCATTTGTGCGGACGATAGGCTCCGTATGAAGGCCATACGGCCCGTAGTACGTGCCAAAATGCTCAGCATATTACCTAGAAAGGACTGATTTTTGCGGAATATTCGATAGTTTATGATGGAATTGAGCGGTCTGTTGATGAAGAAGAGTGCGATAGAAGGACGGAAGTTGGCCTAGGTGTTGCGATGGAAATATCAACAAAAATTAACCAAAACGAAATAGCGAGTTCAAGAAATCCGGAAAGAGAAATGCTAAAAAAGGGCTAAAGAGCGCTTTTCATAGAAAAGGAGGTGAACAGAGGAACATAGTAAATTCGCTGAGGTAGGCGGCCACACGAAAGTGCAGGTAGCGTCATAGTGCAGTTGCCCTCAGGGTTGACAAAACAGCAGTGGACAGGAGGAAAGCCAGAAGGGTTTGGGTCGGGAATCCCCCGGCAGCAACGAAGAGGCACGTGGCGAAGTGCGGGCGGGGACTGCCAATTGGCATCGCTAGGCTCCGCCTCTGCGAGACGAGAGATGGCCACGAGTGCACGTCGGCGCAGGGTGACGAGATGGGGTCGGAGATCAGTGACATCGATTGGTTGTTAAATGTGAGTTCAAACCACGAGACCGACGAGACTATCGAGCTCGTCACAAGGTTCAGCGCATGTTCAGCGGCGTCTCAGGGTCAGCAGCTAGTACGCGCTTCTGATCAGGTGTCTCACTATGTCAGCCTTACTCTCAGATTCAGAGCCCACCGCAGTTAATTGGCCTTATCGATCTAGAAATTGGCCTACCCTTGGCAGAAGCTAGCATTCCTAGGCATAAGTGTTGCTCTGTTTCCGCGGTGAATCATTCGAGACCTATAAAAGGCGTGAGGATCGAAAGGTTAGGCGAAGAAGGCTGATTCATTATCAGCCAGGAGTCGGCGTTCAAAGGATGAGGATGTTACGTGGCTCCACCAACCAACTGGAATTTGTGCTACCTATACAAGGATAAGATTTGGGTGACTTTTTCGCTTGGCTCCGTAGGGAAGAGGGAGTTTGTGAAATGGATGTGACCTATGGGATTTTGCAACTTCGCAGCAAGCCGTACAAGGTTTCCCCATGGGAAAGCATGAGGTTAAATTTGGAAAGCCGTGTGCTAAGAATAATGGTAAGAAGATGAGCGGGACGTTGTTTGGCTGCAGTTTTCTTCGGCTTTGGGGCTATTCCTTTTTCCTTTATTGGGTCTAATTCCAGTTAGGGGGGTGCATCATGGTGCAGTTTCTCGGACGAACTAGTGTGAACTCGAACATTCCAGCTTCTCACGCATGTCAAGTGGATTGCCCTCACCCCCGCGGACTGGCTTCACTCCCCCTGGCTCAGAGATTACCCTAGCTTTTGAAATACTGGCATTACCTGATGCCACCCTATCTGATGGGCCCCATTTCTTTCTCGACACATTCCACATGAAGTCTGAGCAACGCTTTCTAACGTATAACAGTCTTCCTTTTGTGCGGTTAAAATTGCTTATTGAAAAGGCACTAATTAAGTGATTGCAGGCGACTCCATCGGCAGCGCCAGTTTCAAAAGTATTCAATAGGGGTCTTTCGTATTTCGAGCAGTCAAAAAAATGGCTCATTAGAGCTCATAAAAGTCGGCCTTCTATATGCCAACATTGCCCAAGGGACGAAGTAAGTGAAGCTTCTGCTTTTACAATTTCCCCATTTCCTGAGCAAAGCTCTTAATTCTAGGGCGAGAGCCATCATTAGACCTTTCTTATTCCCGTGAGAAATCTCTAAGAGTTAAGCGGCACGTTTTCGTCGAGTTGTCTCGTGCGCTGAAAACAAAGAAATGAGTACATCAAACATCAAATAAATCGCTACGGCTAACGACGAACCCTTTGGCAGAAATCGATTTTAAAAATAATTATATTACAAATTACATTTGTATGATATAAAATGATATGTATTATATAACAATATTATAATTTTCTAAAATGATTCGTGATAAATTGATTGTTCAGATATGTTCAGAATCATAATTTTATGGTCAGGTTGAGTTAATCATATTGCTCATCATTGTGGATGAAAAACATGAAGGGCTTGTTTTTGGAACCGTTCGTTCAAATTCAGATGCCTATTTTGGAACGAGAAGGGGATTTTGGTATAGTTTGTACTTATTCTGCCCTTACCTCTCACCTCTGCTCTCTACACTACCTCTACTTCAATTATGGATTTCATGGTCTTAAAATATGAAAGAGCAATCCGCTGCCGTGCGGGCAAACGCTGAACGTGGGTAGCTTCTATTCCTAAAAATAAGAAAAATAAGCGACAAGAAAATTAAATAATAAACAAGAAACAAACGACAAGCTAAGAAAGCAGACCCTACACTGATAGCGCTACCTTAGCTCGAGAAAACTTGTCTTCGGGCGGATTTGCCTTAGTGGATTTTGTGGTATGAAGCGGAAGGTGTGGTGGAACGGCAAACGATTCCCTTTAAATAGTTCAGAGATCAATCTCTGGATCAAACCCCCCGCGGCTTATTATAACTAAGCCTTCATGAGCCTCTATGTTGTTAGCCTGAAATTCTTCGAGATTCATCTCTGAGGAGAATACCGTCATTAATATTTTGAACGGCTATGCAGACCAATGCATGGGAAGAATTCCTTCAAATGTTTTTCAGAAAATGAACGGAAGTCGGATACATGGTGTATTCCGAAAAAGTATTAGAACAATATCGAATGCTTCATAAATTTTATCTCAATGGCGCTTGTCAGAAATGCATTCCGAAGGATTGCAATCAGCGTTTAGCACTTTTTCTTTTGTTTTATCTTCGTTTTATGTTGGAAGAAGGACGCGTCGACCGCTGAATAATCCTTCATAGTGCATCGTGCATTCTTTTTCAATTTGAATTTGGAATTTCGAGACACACAACGGGTCTCGGCGTTTTTTCAATCGATGAACAATTTGTGAGAGAGATATGTATGCGTATTGTGCTGAAAATATTCGCCGTCAGACGTCTATTCGATTGAATTTTTCATTAGCACCAACGGAGTGCATTACAATCGATTAAATGAGGGGGGTGGCTCTTATAGTGGGGCAGATTGTCTCATAGATAGCGGACGGGACTACTCAGTAGAGTTCTTTCGGTATTGTGCTGTCCAGGAGCCTCATCAAGACCTAAATAGCGTATAATTTAAAGAGGCATCAGAATTTTATTCCCATAGGGTTCCAAAAGCTCCATAAAAGATTCCTTCAAAATCTTTTTCAAATTGTTTCTTGAGTTTTTTTGGAATTTTAGGAGTTTTTGGAATACTTGGAGTTTTTTGCAACTCAATAGAGTGTCGTGTTTTTCTTTCATATCGAGACTTCCAGTGCAATAGAAAGGAGTAGTCTCGCCTCCGACGCCTTTGGAATGTGTTTTTGACGCACACAATTAGGATTAATGAATAAATTATCC